CAGTGCTAATGCAGAATAAACTCAAAATATTTTTAATAGCTTTTATTGGATAATTTATATTTAATTATTCAAAATCAACCATTTTCTATTATTTGGTAAGCAATAATAGGAAAGAAAATAAAGAATTGTACAGCTTATAAAGTATTCTTACATATATACTATACTGTTGATATCATGCATAGGTAGTGAGGCAGAAATCCTTTTATTGCATGGACATACCAAACTCATAGTGTTGTAGTAAATTCTATGATCTCAAATGAGCTTTAAGTGCAAGGGTACCTAAATCTAGGTACCCTTAAACTCTGCTAGCAGAATGTGACTGATATTCACCAAGCAAGTTCTCACCTAAGTTTTGCTTCTCTGTACCCATCTTTGCTTTTATTGTCCCCAAACTTCTGCTACTACTAATATGTAGATCCCTACAGAGAACTTCTGAAAATGTTTTCTTTTTACAGTGGTATTAATGTCAACTGTTACTACTAGTGTTTTAGGAGAAGTGATGTTCTTCCTATAAATGCTTATCCCCAAGGTAATAAAACACAGATACAAAACAAATGCATTACATGAAATGGAATGCAAAGCAATGCTATCAAGTACAATACACATTGAAATATCCCATGTTAATTTGTTAAAAATGTTTCTTCCATTAAAAATTTAGTCATATATTTTTCTGGACTTTGAAAATACAAGGATTTATTTTTATCTTATGGGCATTTTGATTTCTAGTATTCATAGTAAAATTCATGCTGTTCTGCCAAAGAAACAAACCTACACTATCGCCCATTGCTCTTCACAACTCATTTTCCTTTGTTTGTTTTAACACTTTCTTCTCTTCCTCGAACACAGCCCTAGGCTTTCGTGTTTGCCTGAGATTCCCTCTGCTTCCTCACCTTCCTCTTGTCCCTTCTTTCACTTTCTGGTGAAATTCTATCAAATATATTACCTTCTTTGTAATTCGTCATTCAGGATTCATCACATTTTTTTGTTGTCAAAGGTTTGTTTATATTGAGAGTATATAATACCATGTTATAGTTCTTTGTGTATATGTGGTGTGTGTATGGTTGTGTGTGTCTTTAAGAGCAAAGCCTCTAAGCTTATTCATTTTTAAATCTCCAGGCCTAGCACAATGCTTGACACTTACAAAACACAAAAAAATGATTTCAGATACCCAAATGAATAGGAGTAGAAATTCTTATTTCTGTATAGCATATCAGCACTTTTATAAAATATATTAGGAGATGGCTTCACTTTAAGTTATGGGAGGCTGTCCAGAAAACCTCTATACTTTGATGATTTCAGTATCCAAAGGAATAACAATATCCATTTTTTCTCCTCTATAGATATGTCAGGTAAAATGTTTATTTTATATGCAGAAATGCTTTATATGAATGTGGACTGTTATTCACTCAGTCCCGCTTTGATTTATGTAACACATAGATCACATTTTATCATCTAATTTTCTTTAAGGCATTTGATTTCAAATAAATCCTCTTTTAGGATTACCTACCTTGGGTAATATTAAAATGACACTCTCCACTTTTACATTGTTAGGTAGGAGTGGTCATAAATAATGAGGAAAAGAGAAGGTGAAAAGTAACTCTACTGCTTTATACTTGTAATGAAGACATTTTTTCTCCTTTTCTAATTTCTTTTTATTCTCTATTCTGCCTTCAAATGAGGTTAGTTCCTGAATAGTCTCAGTCTTTCAGTGATAGCTCTTACGCCATGTGTCAAGGAATCAACGTTAAGAGAATACAAGTTCTACTTACTTTTTTTTCCCCAGGGTAATAATAATCATACAAATTTCAGTTCGGTAACCTTTACAACAATTTCTTGTTGCCTTTGTGCATGAATACACTTCTGTCCAAAAATCTGCAATAAATTTTAATACATCACAGTTTTGTGCTTCATTTAATTATCAGCCTGAAGCTAAGTCGTGTATTTATCTTCATGATACACAAAAGTGTTCTTCTCAGACTTCTCACTCACTGAATTGATGACAGGCACTCATGCATGTCTACTGGAAAAACACTAAAACAAATGAAATATGAAACTGTTTTAGGATAGTGTATGCAGGACACTTTGGAGACTGCCCCCTTCACCCAGTAATTGTTTCTGTAACTAGAAATGAGTCATTTTTACCCAACTGATTTTTTTCAAATCTCACTTTCTCTTTTTTTTCTTTCTGCATAAAGTAGGCCGTTATTGCTTTGCACTTAGTAAGTATTCATAAGGCACAGGCACTTACAGCTTAGATTCTTTTTCATAGTTCATCATAGTCCAATCCAGAAAGCAGATGGCTGCAACAGGCATGATGTATAGGTACTTTTTCTTGCTTTCTCTGGTAGCAAAAATTTCCCTAGGACAAAATCAATCTACAAGTTTGCTGGAATGTCATTGTTATAGAATTCATAGTTGTTCACGTTTTTTGACTTTGGGATTCTCCTGACTCTTCTCCTTGAACTCTGTATTGGCCCTGAAATCTCAACTTTAATCTTCTCGGGTTAACTATTTGGATTATAAGGGTGGCATTAAGATGGAATGTTTGGAAGGTGGTCCATGTTGTTCCCGAATACCTTCTGAGTCCTGACACCTGGAAGAGGACTGCCAGGTGTGACTGTGTGGTTTGTGTTGTTTGGACAAATATGTGCAGCTGAGGGCTCTACAGGTGGCCAAAATCCTGCCTGTGTCCACTGATGAAAGGGATGCTCATTGTACAGTAGCAGTGTTCATGTGCCAATCTGGGCCCAGGGGTGTTGCCAGCTTTTCATTTGCCTAAAGGTACTGGATGGCCTAGCAGCCATTTTGACCTGGAAGGTTTTGAATTTTAATCCACCTTTGTATTTTATAGAAACTGGGATAGTGATAATGTACTTCAGCTTTAGGTCTGAGGGTCCAAATTTTATTAATTCAAATACAGTTTTCATATACATTGTTCAAGAACCAGGACTTTGTCTTCTTTATCTCTGCATCCTCCATGTCTTAGGCATTGACCAGCACATTTGACAATATGTAGTTCATGAATGAATGAGTAAATGAAGGAATAATTCACTGATTCACTCAAATGGTTCCAAGTCATAAATTCTACCTAAAAAGAGATTTGGGTGATAAGGATTGGTGCCCCTCTGGAATAGTAGTATGGATTGCTATAAGTGATTGGTAAATATTTTGCCTTATTTCCTGATATGTAAATGAAGGGTTAGAAGAACTTCCTCTAGAAGTGACACTGGTTGCTCCAATAATACAAAGACACAAGTCCATATATACATGGTCTGTATATTAAGATCCAAGTCCAGAGGCAGCTGAAAGTCTGTGATGGTGCTACCAAATGGAATGCCATAGCCGCCTAGAGCTGAACGAATCCTGTATGAACTACAGTTTCCTGCGACCCTGAAGATTTGACATAACTAAGGGCCAGCTCTTTTAGATTGCCG